CTGAAAATCACATTTTTTGATTTTAAGCATTCTTACAACCAAACAAATGTATCAATCACTCTTAAGCGTCGTTCAGATATATGCCCAGTGCAGAGCTTACTGGATTATTTTTCACGCCGGGGTTTGTCGGATGGCCCACTTTTTTGAACGCACGAGGGCCACGCGGTTTCACGCAAACTTTTTACTGACTATTTAGCACTCATTTTCAAGACATGTGGTCTCGATCCAACTAAATACAAAGGACATAGTTTCCGCATTGGCGCGGCAACATTTGCTGCGGAATGCGGTTTTTCTGATGCCCAAATTCGATCAATGGGTCGGTGGAAATCCGACGCCTTTCGTAAGTATATTCGAAGTCCAGGCCTGTGCTCAACCGCTTTGCCTAGATAGGCCGAGTTTGGTTGTTTGTCTCTTTTCACCGGATTGATCATGGCTGTCAATAAGCATTTAATATTTTGGCAAACTCCGCTTCCGTGCACATCTGACTGGTCAAGTTGACGCAGGGGCAAGACTTGACTACAATGATTATTATGATACACGTTACTATATGCGACATACTGCTTTAGAGTGTTCTGTGATGCTGACGCAGGGGCAAGGCTATCAGAACACTTTTGTCTTGTCGGTGGTGGTTATACCTGGCAGTTCAACGCAGGGGCACGAATTGTTTGGGTATAGCTAACACCCCCTTTTATATTATGAGCAGTTTAATTAACATTTGCCAATACTATCACTCAATTTTGTAGAATTGTTGCTTGCTTGTTTCATCGGTCTGTAATCACTTTATCTGTCGATGCCTTGTCACGCTGGGGTGAGGTATGTCTTCTTTACCCAAGTAGACTTGTGGCGTTTTTACCCCCACCTTTTCTGTGCTAACTGTTAATGAATTACTTTGGTTAATAATTTGTTATGTTAAACTTATGTCATTGATTACAAAATTAATAAACCGGCATGTGCGTTATGCAATACGCACATTGCCATAATTATTCCAAGTGGTGTCTGACTCGTTTATTGCGTGTAAAGAACATGCACAGAAAACAGAGCTCATCGTGACAAGATATCCCCCAGATATAGTGTTAAATAAAGGAAGCGATAAAGGCCCTTCTACGTTCGTGACAGGCTGCAAATTTCTTTGCAATTCCATGGATGTCAAGAATCAAGATCATCAAACTCTGACTGGTAAATGTTTAGCAGTATGACATTGTTTAGTCTTTCTTGCCCCATCGTCGCGCGAAGGTACGATTTCAGTCTCCTGAGCACTGAGAACGTACGTTCCGCCGTTGCGCTAGTTGCTGGAACTGTAAGGAATAGCCTAAGCAGCTTGTCAACCTCGGAAAACAATTTACGGTTGTTGGGATTTTCAGCAATTAAACTGCACAGGGTTTCAAGTTTGGTGACCTCCTTTATTGGCACTGCAGAATTCGAACATTTAACCAGATCGGGCAGCATCTTCAAATGTAACTCCAGACGAACCAAGTCAAGATCGTTCGCGTAAATGTCAGAAATCGTTTCTTTAATGACAAAGTGATTTCCATTGGCAGCTCTTAAAAGTAGTTGTTCAATATCTCCAAATCAAATAATCAATAACAGCCTTCTTGTCTCTTACCTCGTAAAGGCATTCCTTGTCTGAGAAGATATTTAATGGAAGATATCTCTTTTTTCAACAATGTGCGGTGCAATGCTTGAGAATTTTCAAGTTCAGTTGCTAACTTACTAGCAACTGAAGGTTGATGCATTAGGATAATTTTCTCCATGCTTTCCTTATGACATTGGCTACTCTCATGTTCTTTAAACCGCTGAAGAGCTTTCTTCCAATTACCAAAACCATCCAGAGTGAAGGCTTTTTCTTGTTTTGAACTGAATGTCAAAATCCTTTTTGCTTAGCTTTTCGGCAGTAGTGGCAGAAGACTAAATAGCTTGTGCCACATAATGTAATCCAAGAATAATTATTATACCAAACAACTTGAAATGTCTTAACCCGAAAATTTTTTTCAACACCAGAAGCTTGAGATGTTTTTTCCAGGATAGTTTTAGAACGTGGTTGAAAAGGTTCACTTGAGTCTTCAGCACAACATATATTTTTGCATTTAGCACTACCCTGGAAAATGAATTTCGTATGTGCATGATTAGCTGACATTAAGTTTGAAACCTAGCAGTAATACGTAAAATCCAGTACAATATAAGTTATGTTTGAAATACTTAACCTGTATATACAGTCTTTATAGTACTGATAAACTTTATATATAGATTATAGTGTTCATATAGAAATTATAAATATACCTGATGATCATTAATATTTTTATCCAAGACTGTTATTGGTTGGTGTTCGTCACCAAAACTTTCGTCTGCAGTATAAGTATAAAGTAAAATATATAACTTAGATATTTTAACATATTCTTCACTTTAGGATTTAGCGATTTACTGGCTTATAAAACAGAATAGGCAATATGTTGAGTCGCTAGCTAAAGTCATAAATATACTATACTACCCGTATACTATAAATTAAAAACGTAAAAGCACCTACCTTGGTTTGCCGAATCGCTAAGGTCTCTACGTTCGGTTTCTTCATCAGAAGACGCGGAAAGAAATGGGTTATCATCCTCCTGTTGACTTTCTAATTCTTTGCATTTAAAAAACTCTTTAATAGAACGAGAACGCCCAGCACTCATGTTTTATTCATATTTTGTTTGCGATTGCCCTAGATGATAACACTTAGCGAAGCAATTGCCGCTGCCTAAGTACCTAACACATCAAAACTCCGTGATAAAATAAATAATTGCTCAAAAATTAAACTCGCGATGAAAGAAAATTTTTATCCATGTAAATTTTGATCACAGATACGTGTATTACTAAAATGTATACACAATTCTAAATACTTTCAGTTTCGAATTTCACTGCATTTATTGTAAATTGAGTAAATTCAATGATTTCTTGGGGGTGGGTGGGCAAAAGCTATCTCGGCCCCCCCTTATAAATTTTTGGGGGGGCCGCCGCCCCCCCCCCGCTTCCTACGCCCCTGAGCTAGTGATAATACAACATTTTCAACACTTTCTATAAATGCGATAAAATCTGCCTACACAAATTTGGCAACGGCCATGTCCTATTGTTGAATTGCATCCCAACTCTTACAATTTATACATTTTGAAATCGCCATACAATGGAAAATCTAAATAAAATATTTTGTACGTGCTATGTTACCGAAATGTAAATTATGAATGCGCACATATTTGTATCAGTTTTATTATGATTATGATTAATCACAAAACGTAGATCGTGTAAAAATTAGTGTATTGTATATTACAATGGAAAGACACAACGGTGAAGTATTTGACACGTACTGCTCTACTCCCCTCCAGTTTTATTTTTGGACAGTAGATTCTGATAGACTAGTTGTCGTTCGACATCACAAAATATTTAGAATATCACACTGTATGCATATATCAGCATATTATATGCGTTGATTTACCGTTGAAATATATTCTGATCTTTTCAAATCTTTTCATGTTAGCGACCAACCAATCACAACCCATTTCCCTGTGAATTAGCCAATCAGCTATTTCGACCACCAGGCGGTCTGATTCCACAGCGTATTGATAACATTTTCATCAGACATACGTTTCGCCCTCCGTCGACCCCCGAATTTTGGGGCGAGCGAGACGTAGGTCTGTTTTCAGGCTATTTTTTAATGGACAGCTTGCACAGTCTCTGTCAAATCCAGGATTGCTTGTGTGTAAATAAGCCTACATGTATCACTAAGACGCTATCAAATAAATATGCAAATGTATTTGGGCGAGACTTGTTTTACTTAATAGTAGCATAATGACTAATGAACTGGAAGTAAACAGATGATTAAGACACAATGAAAACTGTTAGTAGAAGTAGAAAACGCGAAAATTTATGTGTACTCGTATGACAGTCTGTGCGCATCTGACACTGTAAATTTACGATATAGATCATAGTATATTATTAGGAAAACATCATGAAACCAAGAAAAAGGCTAAAGCCCGACTATAATTACGGAATACGAATAATGTACTAAATTTTAAAGATAAATAACTAACATGCATTTCTCTGTTTGGCCAGTATCAAATGTTTACATTTGCTATTATCCGGCCTACTTTTTCTTTTAAAAATCGTATAAACAAGACGCGTAGTAACAAGTAAATCGGTTCAAAGCATATCAACGTTTACAAGAAAGGACAAATCTAATGCGTATTTTAAAAACATTACATGTATGTAGAAATGATGACCGCTGAAAAGCCCCATATGGAAACGTTGTTATAAAACTGCGCTCGAGTGTGAAGAGAGTATTGATTTAATGATTTTAATAATGATCGACAACTACTAAATTTATATTATAGCAATGTAGTGCCAGTATACTCGCCACAGTGCCCCAATTACGGCGGGTCCTTGTTGTACTGAACTCTTGAATACTTTATTTACTTGAAACAACCCGTTTACAAAGCTATCTTTTACTCTATATCGAGTCCGTATCCAAAAACAATGTTGTTTTCTTTCCCTTAAATCCCATACTCCAAAAGGTGATTTGTCCCGATAACAGTCCGATCGTAATATAAACAAATGTATAACACAACATATAACATCTCTCCCCAACCACAATAATAATCCAAACCCCCCTTAAGTGTCGTAGTCTTCTAAATAACTCGGCCTCCGTGTTGTCCGTCGTGGTCTTTGCCCTTTCTCAGTGCTTTCATCCAACGTCTCCTGTTGGTTCCCCCTGTTTTCGTTCTCCGTCTCTTCGTCACTCTCGTCTGATGCGTCCTGGTCATCTTTGTTATCCGCACGCGTGTCGGATGCAATCTTTCGAAAATACGACGCGTCCCTCGTGATGGTCCACGTGCCGTTTATCTCCCGTGCAGTTATTCTCGAGCCTTGGACCTCGGTGATTCTCAGAGGTGTAGGGTTGAATGTCGGCGTCAACTTGTTGACTTTCGTCTGCTTCACAATAACACTGTCACCTATCAGAAGTTTATTATGTGGCCGCAGTCCGTTTCTCATCTTGGCTTTGTATCGTTGGTCTCGTATATACGGTCTATAACATGGTCGGTTGGTGTCATATGTGGAAGTACTGTTCTCATTTCTCTTCCGCCATGCAATACAACATGCGGGCTGACACCAGTCGCGCTGTGTGGGGTAGATCGGTACATCTGCAGAAATCTTTGTTATGCGTCTCTCAGGGATTTCCCTTCCAGAGTTGCTGCCTGCAGAGCTTCTTTCATACTCCGAATAAATCGCTCAACTGTTCCGTTTGCTCTGGGCCATTCCGGAGTAATGTGGTGATGGCGGTATCCACTGCTTTGGGCAAACTGTTCCATCTCTTTTGATTGGAAAGGCGAGCCATTGTCCGATTGGCATACCGCTGGAACACCTTTGTTGGTGAATATCTTCTCCATGGCTGCGATTGTGGTGTTCGCATTAGGTGCATTTCGGAACCATGCCATCTCCGGCCATCGACTGTAACGGTCAATCATGATGAATATATATTCGCCGTTGGGGTAAGGGCTTGGAAGTCCATTTCCACATACTGCCATGGGCCAATTGGTAGCTCCGACGGTTTGACTGGCTGGTCGTTATTTGGTGGTTGAACAGCTTGGCACGGTAATCATCCTCGTACCTGGTTTTCGACGGCCTTGTCCATCCTAGGGAACCAGCTGAATGTCCGTAGAAACTGCTTTGCCTTGCTAATTCCTTGATGTGCGCGGTGACTCAATTCGACAACACGTTTTTGTAGAGCGATAGGGACGACAACACGTGATCCCCGACAAACCACACCGTTGACCACACTCAAGTCGTATTTGATTTCCGGGACCATGTAAGGTTTTAAGTCCTCGTCATTGTCGCTTATTCCCGACTTGATTGCTTTAACAAGTCTCTGGTAGACTTCGCATCTTTCTCCTTCAGCCCTAATATCCTCCACCGTCACTGTTCCTTGTTCATTAAGGGCGTGGCAGCACCCGTTCTCAACAACGCTCTCCGCTGCTGCTTCGATCTCAAACACTCGACTTGATACTGCTCGATCAACATGATGTCGTGACATGTAATCACCGATGCATGTCTTTCCCGGACGGTAGACGATCTCGTACTCAAACTCTTGCACGTCCATAAGAAAGTTCTCGACTCTTGGAGGTACCTCCCCGCATAACTTGTGGAACATGTAGGTTAGTGGACGGTGGTCGGTAACGATGCGGAATTTTGGTGCACCGAGCAAATACTTTCGTAGCTTCCTGCATGCCCAGCGCACGGCTAGTGCCTCTCGCTCAGTCGCGGAGTATCTGGTTTCAACCTCTTTCAGTGAGCGCAACTTGTACATAAGGCCTCAGTCTTCGATGCTCGCTGGACAAGAACTGCCCCCAGACCCGTGAAACTGGCGTCTACAACTAGTTCGGTGTCATGTCCGATTACATAATGGTGTAGTAGTGAAAATTCGCTTAACGAGGCTTGCAACTTGGTGAATGCTTCTTGGCACATTTCGTCCCACGCCCAGATGTTCTCCTTAAGCTGTTTCCGCAGAGGGTGGACAATACTCGCGAAGTTCGGACTGAAACGTTCACTAAACCCTGCCATCCCGAGGAAGGAGCGCAGCTCCACTTTACTTGTGGGTTGACTTGCATCTTGTAGATTTTTTACATTCTTTGGGTCGGGTTTTATGCCCTGCTTGTTGAACACCAGCCCGACGAATCGCACCTCCTCTACATCAAAGACACACTTATCAGGATTCACGGTGCTACCATTACTCGTTAAGGCTGTCTGGACTTTTTGCAGGGCTGCATCATGCTCTTCGACTGACCCGCCAATCAAGATATCATCCGCTATGTTCACCTAGCTTGGGATACCGGACAGCATCTTGTGCATCTCCAACTGGAGGATATCCTGGGCAGATTTGGTTCCAAAATTGAGCCTTTTGTAGCGGTAGAGGCCATCAGGGCCATAGAAAGTGGTGATGTTACGCGACTGTTCGTCGAAGACAAACTGGTGGTATGCTTCTTTGAGGTCCAGTTTAGTGAAGCGTTCTGCTCCTTGAAATTTGTTTACAATATCAGCCGTTGTTGGTATCTGCGTATACGGGCGTTGTGTGGCTTTGTTGGCCATGCGCATATCGATGCAGAAACGAATGTCGTTGGAATCTGGTTTGGGAGCAATCAGCGGAGGGCTGACCCAACTGCGTGGCTGGTTATCTGGAAATCGTTCTATGATGTCTTGGTCCAGGAGGTCTTGGATCTTGCTTTCTGCCCGGTCTGAGAGATTGACCGGTATCCGTCTCTGTTTCTGGACACTGGTGTGACACTGTCGTCGATCATCATGGACACCTCATTCGTTTTGGCTTTGCCGATCTTACCCGTGAATACCTCGGGGTTATCCATAATCATGTCAGCTATCTTTTGGCGCCTAGTCATTGCCAAAACTTTCTTGCAGGGCTCAGACACTCGCTTTACTAGGAACTTCTCATTATACCGGATCAATTGGAGCTGTTTGGCTGACTGTTCGGAAAGTAGTGGATAGGCGGATGGTTCAGATGTCACATATATCTCAGTGTCGACTGTCCGATCCCCAGCTGTCAGCACTGCCTTGAATGAACCGATGACCACCAGTGGTGTCTTGCCCCCATATGCAAATAGCTTGATGTTTGTCGGTGTCAACTTTACCCCCGAGTCTTTTCTTTAAAACTGTGGAAGTGTGCCTCATCCCAGACGTCCTTTTGGGTCCCGGTATCCGGTTGCCACAGAGCTTCTTGGTCGTTAGTGCGGACTCTCATCAGCGATGGCTTTTCCCTCATCCCAAGGTTGTTAACTAATTCGATCTTGGCTGTGTCATACTCATCAGTGTCGGAGTTGGTGTCGTTTCTGGTGTCAGTTTGGGGTTCTGCTTCGATGCGCTTGATTCCTGCTTCCTTCTGTTTCTTGAAGCACTTGCTGGCATAGTGTCCTTTCTTTTTACAGTAATTGCAGATTCTGGATATGGCTGGGCACTCCGAAGCAGGGAAATGGTTCTCGTGTCCACACACGAGTATAACTCATCGCATAACTTGTAATACTTTCTGACGATTCGATTTTCATTCGGAGTAATTCAAAGATAGCAAAGTCGTTGCACTGTTTTGGTGAAAAATGTAATTTTAATTTGGTTTTAGATTGCTCATACGCGGTCCAGTTTTCTTCCTCTGTGCCTTCTGGTTTGCCTGGTTCTGGCAGAGTGTCGTGCAGGTCTTCCACCTCGGTGCCTGCGTATATTAACAGCGCCATTTTGGCTATTTCTGTTGTTTTACTAGGATCACATCCGTTATACTTGAGGTCTCTCTCAAACCGTTCGAACCACTTTTCCCATCGTTTCCCCAGGTTTCCGTGAGGATCGAAGGGTAAAACTTTTAGCTTGGGTCCTTTTGTAGCCGTAACGGCTGCAGAACTCGTCGCCATTGTTGTACTGAACTCTTGAATACTTTATTTACTTGAAACAACCCGTTTACAAAGCTATCTTTTACTCTATATCGAGTCCGTATCCAAAAACAATGTTGTTTTCTTCCCTTAAATCCCATACTCCAAAAGCTGATTTGTCCCGATAACAGTCCGATCGTAATATAAACAAATGTATAACACAACATATAACAGTCCTTAATAATTATACATCTAAATCACGTTAATATTAATATTGAATAATCTAATAAATAACTGATAACTGACAATACGCATAACAAAACATAACATACAACAAAACATAACATACATGCAACTAGCAACATCATTTGATTTAAAGATATTCAGACCAATATCTCTGTGACGATGATCACAGCCCAAAATGTTCCATGTTTTACATGCTCTAATGAAATAAGAAGTTTGGAAGGTCACCGTACTGGCAAATGGTATTGAAAATTTGTATACGTTCTCATTTGTTTCGCTCCTCGTTATTCCAGAACCAGCCATTGTTGGTCGAGCACTGTCATCGATATATGTGTAGCCATTGATTATCTTGTAGAGTAGAACTAAATCCAAGACCATACTTGGGACGCATACGCAAAGTTGTTGCGGACCATACTTGGGACCATACTTGGGACGCATACGCAAAGTTGTTGCGGACCAGTTGTAAGTAAAGGTACTTCCTCGTCCCGATGTCATGCATTTCCATTTTAGACCGTCGTATAAATCCAAGCATTTTATTAGCCTTAGATCGCATCCTGTTTACTTGATTGATCCACGTTAAGTTGGAATTCATAACGACGCCTAGATCAATTTTAGTGTTAGACAAAGCCAGTCGTTGACCGTTCAGACTATACGAGATGATTAGCGGAGATTTGTCACAAGAGAACAAATATCCTTGTCTATTAGACGTTTTCGTCGATCATCAAATTTCCCGCGTTTATTTGACAAGATGTTGTTAGATGCCTTGGAAAACGTGAATTTAGTAACTTTATGATCAGTTTTCATTCCTAACTCGGTTGACTCAGGTTGGTTCGTAATTATTAAGTCCAGAATGTTTGATTCTCTCCTAGGGATGAGGCAGAGTTGAGACATGAAGTAATCATCTAAGATATCACAGAAATTTTGACCTAATGTTCCAGTTGATGTATGGTTAGAATTTGTTCAAGAAATATTTGGAAGGTTGAAATCATCAGCAATAATGATCTTGTCGTAATTTGGAAATAAATTATCAGCCATGGATCTAAGATCAGACATATCTTTACTGACAGGTGGTCTGTAACAGCAGACAAGGAGTCACTTTTCGTGGTTTGGTAGATCGAGTGCATTGGATAGCAACAGCCTCTAAAATTAGAAGTCGCAATAGAACTAAGTTGACTGCAGTTGATGAAAACACCTTGTTTAATAGCTACTAAAACGCCTCCTCCAATTCGTCCTAGTGATCGATCGGTTCGATAGATGTCATACCCATGGGGTAGAATTTCTTTGCTGGAAATATCGCTGTTGAGCCACGTTTCAGATACAAACATTATGTCAAGCATCTCCAAGTAAATCATAGCAGGTTAGAGGTATACAAATTCCCTTGAGAGTGGATGTTTTTCTTCAAACTTCTAGCATTCATATGCATACAATATAGTCCAACTTGGTTGTCCCGTGGTCCATATGTATTCTGTTTATTACTGAGTCTGTTTATTACTGAGTGAAAATTCGCGTAATACTGGAGTCTTCGATTCTCGAATTTACCTTTAATAACTGCAAAAAAGCGTATTCGATTGTTAATAACGCAGTACCAGTTTCTTTCCGAGGCATAATTTAAGAGAAAAGAAAAGTTATGTGTAGATTGTGATGCTGTATGATTATAGAATTTTAAGGGCAAGTTCGTCGTTTTCAGGAGCTATTACTGCAAAATCAGACATTACGAAGATCAGAATTATGAATGAGATTGACCATGAAATCATATTCTTGTTCATCTTAATGTTTGTCGTGAAAATAAGTTCAATCCAATTGACAGAATTTGATTACCAAAGTTTAATCCGTTCTAAATAAAATTCTAATTCTAATTTGGTCGTTATTGTGTGGCGTATCTTGATCAGTTGATGTCGCGAGCGTCGTATGCTGGCGTGATTAACGGTTCCAACCGAAAATTCAAAGTAATCCGTCCAAATCGCAGCCATAAAAACAAATATATTCGACGGAAATCCAAAAATTCCGTTGCAATTTACGAAACTCCCACTTCTCACAGGTAGATATATTCGTTAATGATAATCCCGTAAGTTTTCAAGTTCAATTTTGAAAAATTAAAACTAAAAAATCAATACGAAACCTTAACCAACAAAAATCCTGAACCTTCAAGTTCATCATGTGATATCGAATCTGACGAGGAACCAAACGATAAGTTCAAAAGTTCAACAAAAGGAACCCATGTTCGAAGACAAAAAAAGAAATTGATAGAAAATGTCAAAGCTGATGAAACAAAGAAAAATAATGATGCCGGTGCTGACAAGAAAACGACCACCGTTATTGTGGGTGACTCTATGGTCAAATATCTTAATGCTATAACAGACTTAAAAGATCAATGCCAACTGGAAATCACAACATACACGTAGAAAGGGTCAACTACTGAGGCTATGGCTCATCATATTAGGCCATGCTTAGTCAAGCAGCCGAACCAAATTGTGTTACATGTTGGTACGAACGACATACGAGATAAGCAGCCGGAAGAAATTGTGGATGGCATAATGAAAATCCAAAAGGTTATCGAGAAGTAAAGCCCAAAAACAACCGTGATTGTATCAGAGCTGTTACACAGAAACGAAAAAATTGAGTATACACAAAAAGTGAAGAAGGTAAATATAATGTTAGCTAAAGCATGCAAACAACATTACTGTGATTACATTGAGCACAAAAACATCGAAGACAAACATTTAAATCCCTATGGATTACACTTAAATAGATTTGGTACTAGCCCGCGTGCAGGCCCAAGGAAACTGATAGTGGGCCTGCAAGCAAGCCCCGGTATTTTGTACTTTCCGCGTTCGTCCACGAACGCGGCATTCTGATTGGCTGTTTGCTGTTGGATTCTATAATTAGGTCAGTGATTCATCACAAAGGCTCTCGATATTTTCTCGATAAGCTTAAAATTCGAAAATTGATCATTTTTTTCGATTACAAATGGAACAAGAACAGACTGTTTATTGTTTACTTGAAGGAAGAGATGTTTTTGCCGTTATGCCAATGGGGATTCCTTTTCGTGAGGTGTTGGAATAGCAACATTTAATACGACTGGGGTAAACTATAGTAACCTTTACTTGAGTTTCATTAATTTCAAACAGACTTGATACGTTATATGTTCCTCAAGAAAATGATCTTTTGGTTGATGTTGAGATGCAGTTGCATGTAAGCCTATTCGAAACACTTTGCGATTTACAAGGCTTCGCTGAGAGAGCGAAACAAAAGACGGTATTAAATTGCCGTTTGAAACGAAACGATCTGGACTCTGAACGCTCTTCTTTTGTAGAGTTCTTTACCAAATGAAATAACTGAAATAAATTTTGTACTTTCCACGGCCAACAAGAATTGCACACACGATCTGATCAGTGAGACAATTTATTTATAACAATGGCGACAGCGAAGCACACATTATAAATGCTAATGTGCTCGAACTACTTCCCTCAAGATTTGAAGTTTGAGACTGGTTTTCTGTTGAAATTCGTCCTAATTTGCCTGTTCTGATTTTAGTTGAAAATGAGCACTTGCAAATTTGGCAATTACTGACTGCGTTGCTTGCTTTTTTTGGAGTTAAAACGCAGCCATTCACACATTGTTTATGTTCTGAATAAGCAGAGAAAATTCCGCAACATTTTAATGCGAGTTTGTTTGTTAATATTTGGGTGCTGTCATTGGTTCTTTTTTGACAATTGACGCGCGAATGGGGCGTGTTATGAAAAGGGGCGTTTTACAAAATACCGGGCCTTGCTTGCAGGCCCACTATCAGTTCCCTTGGGCCTGCACGCGGGCTAATTTGGTACTAGTGTGATGGCTAAAAACCTTGTTAATTATTTTAATACAAAGTATGCATGATTTTGCGAGTCTGTCCCGAAATTGACACAAGGGATATGTTCTCCTTCTCATTCACCAAATGATAATATAAGGGGTAAAACTAATGAATTATCAGGCAATAAGACAATTAAGGCTAGTATAACTAGGAAATGTTTAAATAAGGGCTTTAAAATAGCTCAACTTAACATTAGAAGTATTCTTAATAATATTGACGAATTTAGGATGTATGTTCTTAAACATGAATATGATGTTATATGCGTAAATGAAACATAGCTAGACAATAGTGTCAATAACCATGAGATAGACTTAGACGGATATGACCTAATTCGTAAAGATAGACACCGACATGGCGGTGGGGTAGCGATGTTTATTCGAAACACGATCAATTATAAAATCAGATCTGATATCATGCCAGAAAATTTAGAGACAATCACGGTTGAAATTACCAAACCAAAGGCAAAACCGTTTCTTTTAAGTGCATGCATGGTACAGGCCTCCAAATATGCCTGTAAATATATTTATAGATTACGAATTGATTATCCAAAAAATGGATCCTGAAAATAAGGAAATTATTTGTATTGGTGATTTCAATTGTGATTTGTTGTCTCCAGAAAAAAGTGAAACTAAAAAACTATTTGATTTGGCCAACATGTTTCAGCTTGAACAACTTATTAAAGAACCAAGACGAATCACTAGTCAATCTCAAACACTTATTGATTTGGCTTTTAGTATCGGCCTGAAACTATAATTAAATCTGGTGTTGATCATGTTGGTATGAGTGACCATAGTTTGATTTACATTCATAGAAAAATATCTATCCCCCGCAAACAGCCTAAAATAATAAATACTCGCCAGTTCAAACATTGATGTAGAGGCTTATAAACAGGATTTAGCCAAAATCCTTTAAAACCAACCTCAAGATGGCGACCAAAATATACTTTGGGAGAACAGGAAAAGATCCCTATGGAAAATAATTAATAACATAATTCCCTTGAAGGAAAAGGAAACACAAGTTTATAGTAAAGATCCAAAAACAGTTGCAGAAGATTTCAACCTTTTTTTTTACTTCTGTGGGACGGAACGCTGCTGCGACAGCCGAAAGTTTAGCCAAA